GGAGGAGGAGGAGGAGGAGGAGGAGGAGGAGGAAGAGGAGGACCTGTTCGCCCCGCCGTTTATCGACTCGGACTCCGACTGCCGCGGCTCGTTGCCGGAGAAGAAGCGGGTGACTGGCCGGACGCTCGCGCGCAGGGACGGTCTGGCCCGGGATGCAGCAGACTGCGCGGCGGAGCTCGCATAGCTCTCGAACTCCAGCGACGCGGAGCCCCCCTGGCGAAAGCTCTCGCGGGCCGAGAACCGCGGCGTAGCGCAGCCCCATGGCCTGGTCTCCAGAGAGCACTGCCCCTGCACCTCCGCCAGGCCCCCCCCACCACGCCTCCGCTGGCTGGGCTCGGTCTCCGACTGCCCCTCTCCGCCCAGCAGCAGGCGGAGCCTGCCATGGAGCTCCTGCCAGTGCCTCTGCACCATCGCCTCGATGTCCGCGAGGGCCGCTTCGGCTGGTGGCTCCCTCTGGGAGTGCTGCGCCCCGTGGAGCGGCGGCGAGGACTGCGGGATCGGAATCCTCCGGGCGCCGGTGGAAGTGCCCAAAGGGTCAAGGGGGGCCCCGTGTCTCCCTGGTCGCGCTCGCTGCGCCGCGCGGCGCCTGTTCGTCCGCCCTTTTCTGCTTCCTCCCGCCCTCCTTCCTCCTGCTCCTCCCTCCCCCTGCTCCTCCCTCACCCTCCTCCTCCTCCTCCTCCTCCTCCTCCTCCTCCTCCTCCTCCTCCTCTTCCTCCTCCTCCTCCTCCTCCTCCTCCTCCTTCTCCTCCTCCTCCTCCTCTTCCTCCTCCCCCTCATCTTCCTCCTCCTCCCCCTCATCTTCCTCCTCCTCCTCCTCATCCTCCTCATCCTCCTCCTCTTCCTCCTCCTCGTCCACCCCTTCCTCTTCGCCCTCCTCTTCGTCCTCCCTCTTTCGCCTACCCTCCCTCCTTGGCCTCCTCTTCCTCCTCTTCCCTTTCCTCCTCCTCCTCCTCCTCCTCCTCCTCCTCCTCCTCGTCCTCCTCCTACTCCTCGCTTCCCTCCTCGTCATCGTCTTCCTCCTCCTCCTCGAAGCCCTCCTCCCTCCTCCCGCCTATGGGCCTCCCTGGCAGCCAGAGCGATCAGGAGCTGTCAAGCCCGATGAAGTGGCCACTGAGCCGGATTCAGCCTGGTATTCAACCAGCTTCAGCGGGGACAGGCAGGAATATGTCGGATGAGGTCGGTGTTCAACCACAGCTATAGCAGCGCCGATGCTGCATTGAACCTCCCAGGGGTTGCATCCTAAGGAACGGGTCTCTGGAGGTGCAAACTCTGGAACATTCAGCCGTCGTGACTTTTGCTGGAACGCTTAGAGGTGCGGGTTGGGACAGGACCACTTCGAACAGCACCCGGGTCCTGAGGAGAAGCGGATCAAGCTTCCTTGGAAGAACAAGCAACGAAGTCAACATACCCTTTCGGAGGGCCGCGCGGGGCTCTTGGGGTCGGCGCTCTCCCCTGGCCTGCGAAACGCGCCGCAACGGGGCCCAGCGCCGACGCACGAAGTGCGCGCGGGCCCACAACCTACGGCCGGGAACGTTTGCCTAGCTCGTCGCGGCGGCGGCCCCGGCGCCACGCCATGCCCTGCGAGCGGTCAGCGTGTCGCGCCGCAGCGCGGTGGTCCCGAACCCGGCGGGGCGACACGCCAAGCCAAAGCTCCTGACCGTATGTGGGGAAGGCAAAAGGTGGCAATGCTGCTGCTCCCTGGACCTCTCCCGGTGTGCGTTCTGGCCAGCATTCTGGGGCGAATCCGGCGGTGGCGACGAGGGCCTCCGAGGAGGCCCAGAAAGGCGCAAAACGAGGCAAAGGCAGCGGCATCGTTACCTTGTATTCCTCATCTGGGTATGCTCGTCTCGCTTGTTGCTCTTCGAGTCCTTGGGCTGATCGGGCCGGAATCGCTTCTGGCGGCAACCGGCAGGACGCTGGCGACCTCGCCGGGCGGCACGGAGGTCGGCCTGCCCGGAAGTGGGACGTCCTGGTAGGGCGCCCTTGGTACGGCCACCTGCCCGAGTCTCCACTCCCCTACTGCAGGTTCGTGCAGCATCGGCACGCGCGAAGGTTTTTGGCACAGCGCCGATTGTCCCACCATGAATTCCGTCAGGTCCAATGGCATCACCGCGTCCCGCGGTGCTTCCGCGTCGCAGAATTCAACGCCAAAGGGGGGATCGAGAAATGGTGAGGGCGTCGGATGAAGAACCATTGGACAAGGAGTCCAGGGTCTGAAGACGTGGAACTCCAATGGTGGATCGGCCTGGATAACGCCGCCGCCCTCATCAGACAAGGAATCGGCAAAGGTCTGGGGCCTCTTGGGTACACTCCTCAACCAACGCCCCCCACCGTAGAGGGGCAGCAAAAAGGCATCAACACAGTCTCTTGGAGGTCCACGCGGAATTCTTGGATCGGCGCTGGACCCGCCTCCCTGGCGCGCGGAGTGCGCCAGGGGCGGCGCTGAAGACGCCGCGAGGGAGGCTAGCGCCGATCCAACAAATCTGCACAGACCTCAGAAACCTTATGTTTATGCCGCTGGGTTTCCGAGAAGTGGGAGCGGGCAGATGTTGTCAGAAAGCGGCGGAGCTTCGGAGAAGGCATAGAAAGAAAGCTTCCAAGAAGGCCATGGAGCCGCTCAAATTCCCCCGAGACGGCCCGCTCCCCCTGCCTTCCCCCCCGGACACGCCGCCGACTCGATCCCCGAGGATCGAGGAAGATACGGCAGGTCCGTGCCGCGTCGACCCTGTCATTGGTTCCTGACACCACAGGGATCGTTCAACCTTGAACGATCGGCCCTTTCCGAAATGTCCAAATCGTTCCACATCGAACGATTCTGGGTCGCCAGCGGTGTTCAACATTGAACGCCGCTGGCGGGGTGGCCGCCGGTCGACACGACACGAACCTACCGTGTTCGAGCACATCCGGAAAGGCTTTGGAGCATCTCGACCCCTGTCGGGCCTCTGGAGGCCACTGGTAGGCCTCAGGCGAGCCATGGAGGCCTGCACAGGGGGTCAGGATCCAGGGAGGACGCGAAGCTACCACCTCCCTCGCAGCACTCCTTCCTCCTCCCCGCCGTCGCCTCCGCGTCCCCTCTGCGTCGCCGTCGTCGTCCTCCTCCTTCTCATCCTCCTCCTGCTCCTCCTCCTCCTCCTCCTCCTCCTCCTCCTCCTCCTCACCCTCGTCGCTGTCGCACTCCTCCTCCTTACCAGCTTCGTCGTAATACTCGTCCTCATCGTCCCGCTTCTTTCCTCATCCTCCTCGTCGCCGTTCTCGTTGTCGTCGTCGTCGTCCTCCTCCTCCTCCTCCTACTCCTCCTCCTCCTCCTCCTCCAAAGCCTCCTCCCACTCGTCGTCGTCATCCTCCTCCTCCGTCTCCTCATGCTCCTGCCTTCTCCTCCTCCTTCATCCCATTCCATATAAGCGACTCCTCCTTGTGGCAACCCTAGACGTGTACTTGGGGCAGGCCGGGCGTGTCGCCTGAGACCTCCTCAGCACTCATGGTTCTGAAGCTTGAAATTCGCATCAGGTTCAAGGGTGGAGGGCGGTTTGTTGTCAAACATTGTGGTTCTCGCCTTAGCGCAGCGCGCATTCGTCTTTAACGTGTGCGCCAGCTTCAAGGATGGAGGGCAGGTCGTTTTCATCATGTGGCTCGCGCTTGAGCGCCGCGCGCATTTGTCTACAACACTTGCAAAAGCTTGAAATATAGAAGACGGGCCGCTTTCAAAATGTGGCTCAGGCTTGAGCGCCGTGCACATGTATCGTAAATACGTGCAACAGCTTCACGGGAGGGGACCGACTCCTCTGGGAAATGCGGTTCTCGCCTCAGCGCCGCGTACATGTGTCTTACAGGCGTGAAGCACGTTCAATGAAGTCTGGTTGAACTCGGTTGGAGGGTTCGTGCGATTGAGATCCCAGGAATGGTGTTCAGGAGCGATTTCGGATTGCCAGGACGCAACACTCAAGTCTCATGAAGCGCACTCTGGCGCTACTGAGGATTGTCAGGACGCAAAACTGACGTTGATTCGCGGCGTTAAAGTCCCAGGCAATATGTTTCGGCATGGTTGAAGGTTCTCAGACGGCGGTCCTCTGACGGGGAACTTCGTGCAATGAAAGTAAATCCTACCAGCCCTTTAGGGCCTAGGTGGTCTTGAGAGCTGTCTCTTTCAACCCCCTTCTTCCCCTTCGGGGGAAGGTTTACCCCTCCCCTTCCCCCCTCCCCTGGACCTGGAGGGGGCGCCCCGCGAGGTGTCAGAGGGTGCTTTTCGCCCAAGACGGCTCGAAGAGAGCCTCAGAGAGCCCAAGATGACCTCCAAGATGGCTCAATAGTCTAAGATGCCTGAAGGTGGCTCCCAAGATGCTCCAAGATGCCCCAAGAACGCTCCAAGACGGCTCCAAGGGGGCCCCCAAGAGGCCCAAATCCTTTCAACACCAACGGAAAATCAATAACGTGTGCCTTCTCGTCTTTTTGCTTTCGATGGCCTTCCGAGGCCTCAGGATGTCTCCAAGAGGGTCCTTGAGGGAGCCCCAAGACGGCCCCAAGAGCGCTCCAAGAAGGGCCCAGGAGGGGTCCGAGAGACACATGTAGGCACTCTTGAAGGGGAAGGATACTTAAGTACCCCCCCCCTTGTTTGATCGATCTCCTTCAAGATGGCTCCAAGAGCGCCCCCGCCCAAGCGGCCTCCAAGAGGCTCGCAATAAACCCCCAAGGGGCCTCCAGAGGAGCCCCGGGAACCCAAGACACTCAAAGACTGCCCTGGGCCCGCAAATATGCCTTGCCTGACGCCCCAAGGGTCTCCAAACAACTTCCAGGCGACATCCGGGGAGACTCCGAGGGGCATTCAAGAGGCTTCCTCCTCCTCCTCCTCCTCCTCCTCCTCCTCCTCCTCCTCCTCCTCCTCCTCCTCCTCCCCCTCCTCCTCGTTCATGTCCACGTTCCCCTCCTCTTTCCTCCTCCTCGCCCTCCTCCTCCTCCTCCTCCTCCTCTCCTCCCCACTCCTCCTCTCCTCCCCCTCCTCCTCTCTTCCCTCACGCTTACCTCATCCTCTCGCCGCTGCCTCCCCCCCCCCCCCACATCATCCTCCTCCTCCTCCTCCTCTCCTCCTCCCTCCTCCTCATTTTCCTTCCCTCCTTTTCCTCCTCCTCCTGCTTCTCCTCCTTCTTCCTTCCCTCCTCCCTCCTACTCCTCTCCCTCCCCTCCTCCTCGTTCATTCCGCTCCATTCCTCTTCCTCGCCTCCTCCCCCTCCTCCATCCTCCTCCTCCCCTCCTCTTCCTCCCCCCCTGCTCCTTCCTCCTCCTCCTCCTCCTCCTCCTCATCCTCCTCCTCCTCCTCCTCCTCTTCCTCCTATTGCTCATCCTTCGATTCCTCCTACATCCTCCCCCGCTTAGGGTACGACGTCTTACCCAAACCTGTATTCCACTGCATTCTACTCCACATCCCTGATCAAGACAAATCGTCTAGGCATAGTTTCTGGATGGGCTGGGGGGATACTTTTTTAGTCAGCGGCCGCGGGCGAGCGCGCCAGCGGCGAGTCCGGTCAAAGCGGGGCACGCAGCGACAAATTCACCTAAAGCAGCGGGGCGCAGCCTCATCTAAAGCGGCTTAGCGGAGCCTCACGCAGCCCCTCAGCGGCGGACCGGCGAGTGGAGGGGGCAGGCTGAAACTGAGTCGTACTGCCAGCGTGCAGGTATGCACGGCTTCGGAAGCGTCAGTTAGCCGGGAAGAACGACGACCAGGGACAGAAGCCGAGAAATTAAAGCAAGGGCGCGAGACCCCGGACAACTGCGAGAGCACCAGGGCTGGGGGGGTTACGCGAAGCGTCTAGAAAAGAGACGTTGTCCTCCTCCTCCTCTTCCTTTGAAGGGTGTGCTTGGGGCTCGGCTTTCGGACCAACACAAAAAAACACCTCCGGCTGTTCGGGACGATTCGGGCACCCCCTGGAACGCTCTCGGCGAGGCGCGGCTGCTGGAAAACACACCTGGGCGAGAGAACCTCCATGATCGAGCGAATACCCCAGCACACCTCCGAGGAGGTCAGGGATAAGGAGGGGGAGAATGAAAGGACATGGAGCGATAACCATGACCAAGACGGAACGCGGACACGTCGGTGTCGATCATGGTCTTCGTCCAATAGTGGTCATCGCCGATTCGTGGATCCTCCTCGCGAATCGGCAAAGGCCGCCATGGACCCTGGCCAAGATCGGCGTCGACACGTTTCCGCTAAGTATGGTCAAGGCGCACAAGGCCAAAACGAAACAAGGGTAGCGGTATCGGCACCCCTGAAGCCGCTTGGACCCGTTTCGGGGCGGTCCTGGGATCTCCTGAAGTCTGTTTGAAGCCATCTCGAGCGACCTCGCACTAGCTCGAGCCATCTTGGGAGCCATCTTGGCATCTCTGAGGCCCTGTTGGAGCCATCTTGGGCCGTCTTGGCCACCCCAACTGCCCGCCGCCCTTTTCCTCCTCCTGCGACCAGAGCCGATAACGCTCGTGACTGTCCCCGCCCCCCCCCCTGCCTGGACGCCCAGTCGCCGCTGGCGCGCATCGTGACGTGACCAGCCTCCATCCCCCCTACCCCCCCCCCCTCTGGTCACGCCCATTATCCTCAGAATCCCACCAGCCCTTTGGGCGTGAGTGGTTTAGCGAGCTTTCTCTGTCCTCAACCCCTCAACCCCCCTTCTTCCCCTTCGGGGAGGGGTTTACCCCTCCCCCTACCCCCTCCCGCTGGACCTGGAGAGGGGGCAGCCGCGGGTGGTTGGAGGGGTCTTGTTCGACTCCTGGGAGGGCCAAAAAACGACGACCCTCACGAGGATTCTGGCCCCGAGGGGGGGGAGGGAGTTTGGCGCCTGAACTCGTCGTTGAAGTAAAAAAACATTGATTTTACTACGGTTTTGGCCCCATTTTGGCCTTCTGAGGGGGCCGCGTTCCTCTTCCTTCTTAGCAACCTCATTGATTTTACTAAGGTTTTGAGGTCGCAAGAGACCCCAAGATAGC